ACACACACACACACACACACACACACATGATCCACACACACACAGTACACACATTCACACTTTGTGTGTCATGAATGTATTTATATCAAAATGTGTGTGTGTGTGTGTGTGTGTGTGTGTGTGTGTGTGTGTGTAAGTTGTGTGTGTGTATGTTTATGTATATATATCTCAGAGAGAGAGAGAGAGACAGAGACAGAGAGACAGAGAGAGAGAAAAGGAGAAAGAGATAGATTGGAAGGGGGTAGAGGGCGGAGAGTAGAGATGCTAGGATAAACATACAGAGAGCAAAAGAAAAGACTCATTAGTGAGTGGGCGAACACAAACTTTCAATGCTTGATTAAAAATAACAGTGAGAAAAAAAACCCCCAGTGAATGACTGGAACAGGAACGACATAGAAGAATCATTGTTTTAAGAAGGCTCTTAAAAAAGGAGGGAGGTCCAGTATACGTTTGCATCTGCCCTGTCCTGTCATGACAGATAAACATAAACTTTTTAGCTACTCAACGGAGCTTATCGGCTAAAGTTTGGGCCATTTTCTAGAAGAATGAGAGTCATTTTTAGAAAATTAAAGAGGGTCGTTTTGTGCAACATTAGAGGTGTAGTACTAGTGCAATTGTCAGTTTATTGTTGGTGTTTAACGCCTCCATCGACACGATTTAGACCATTTAGGAAGCGGGCTGAGGCTCTGCCTGCAAGGGCCAACCTGCGCTGAAAGGGATACAACATCCCAGCAGAAGGACTGAGATACTCGATATAAATTCTCTCCACACGAGAATCGAACTTTTTCTGTGCATTGTGCTTACAGACGCCGGTTATTTTTGTCTTTTTGTCTATATAATTAGAGTAAGAGACCTAGATCTATGTATTTTGAGCTCGATGATATTCATGGGAGCTAATTGAATGCAAAATAATTAAATGAATAAATGAATAAAATACTTTACTATTTAAAAGCCAGAGATGTATAGATATATTAATATTATCTGGCTTTTGAAAATTTGAAGACAGATGTCGCTGTCTC